TATATATAATATATATGTATATATATATATATATATATATATGTACTGCTATTTATTTTTAGAATTCCGCTTGGCGCTGGGCTCTTCAATCGCGAGGTGTACCTGGAAGGTATCAGAAGGCGCGCGGCGGCGATGGATGACTCTTTGGATTCTTCGAAAGTTTGTTCACTTCAATAAGGAAATTTGAGACGCGCTATCGCAAGAGCGTTATTAACAGAATAGGTAATGTATTTGTAGATAAAGATTTTCTTTTTAGTGCGTTGGACGGTGAACGAATGAAAGGTCGCTTTATACCAGGTTCTTACAAGATATAGAATGCCGCGTTTCTTTTGTACGATTTATGTACTCGCTAAGTCTGTCCATTTTTTATAGCGGCGACGGGAAACACTTTTCTAATAAGATATCTAATGTATGAATAGATTACAAATACCAGTGAACACCGTAAAAGTCTAGTCAAGCAGTGAAATAAAAAATTGCTTTAGCGAAATGAAAAATCTAGATGAGGCTGAAGATTTTATAAATGTACTGTCGGTCTATTCCCGACATTCATATTGTGCCACACACACATATATATGTTGTTTGACTTTGTATGTGGCCGACATTGTCGAAAAATTACAAAACAAGAGTGATGTTCTTTTTGTAATACTGCGAGTTTTGTTAGACAAATTTTTTATAGTAACTCTATATTGTGCAGTATTTATCAAACTCTAACTCGCTTATAATATTTCGAAGACGAAATTATTAAAGAAGAAATTGTGTAGTGTTCCAAAATAATTTTGCCTCTTACTCCCCCTCGTGGGGTCACTCATGTTCGATATTTGCTAAAATATCATATTTACCATAGTTACATAGTTGCTAAAATTATATAGTTTCACCAATTGTTATTGTCGTTTCGCTTTTTAATTGTATACCAGAAAATTGAAATTAAGTAAAATTGCGATTGAAAACCATCTCATTACGGTGTAACTCCTTAATAGAAGCGTAAAACGCAAATGATCCCACGAGATAGCGAGTGAGGAGCAAAAAGTGACAAAAAAATGATGTTCTTTTTGTAACACTGCGAATTTTGTTAGATAAATTTTTTATAGTAACTCTATATTGTGCATGCAGTGTTTATCAAATGAAGGGAAGTAAGGGTTAAAATTATAAAGACATATTTATATGTAATTTGCTGCTACTGATCGAATAATGATCGACATTTATAGGTCGAGTTTCTTATAAGATGAGTATTCTAGTTTTTACGTTCAATTATACATTTAGATGTAATACAAATTGTAGACCAAACTATTGGGCCAATAAGATATTAGAGAATTAATAGGCGCAAGATTTATAGATAATACTTTACTTTCGTTTATTAATTGTTTGTATTCTTATTTACTGGGACCACCCATTGTATCAAGTCTTAAAAAAAAAAACTCGAATTCGAAACTCGAATAGAATATCTTTCTCTATAAGCGTTATATATACAATATATAGTAATTGCGTTAACAACTAAATGCTAAATAGCATTGTCGTTTCAAATAGTGTCGTGTTATCGGTTTGAAATAGTCTATAGCGTTAGAAGATAATTGCTCCTTGATAATACGAGACGCCCTACTTCTACTTTGCTATAGATATTGATAATAACGGCAAATCATGGCTAATTATAAAACCCCAAACACAATATCGTTAACACAATAATAATATATGCACAAATGATATGTCAGTATTAGTTTTAACGTTTGCTTTATTACAACTGTGAGAAAATAATCGCATCATAAATGTACAATGTGTGATATAAATCGTAGTCACATTACATAATTTTTAAATAATTAACTATGAATTCTATTTAAATTATTCATTTGTTATGAATTTGTTATTAAATTAAAATATTTACATGATTTCTAAAGTACATACACACATATATTTTTAATTCAATTTTGTTATATATTTTGTTTGTTTTTATGATCAATTTATTTCGTTGTTACTATTTGACCGTCTTATATTCCACATTATTTTCAAGAATCTTATATCTAAAATTTAAAATAGAGACACACAGTATGTCACGTTATCTATAGGGAATACTATATATTCCTCTCTTCTCTCGAATATACTAACTGCAAAAAAGAACAGGCAAAAACTGCTGCTTGACGGAAGCTTGAAAGAAGCAATATGGAAATTATTATAAACAAGAGAATGTAACTATATTTATATGTTGAGACCTAACAATATGAACAAATTGTGTATAAAAATTAAGCTCCACAACAATACTTGGAGCGCGGTGTTTAATACGCTTAAAAAGTTCCATTAAATACTATTATACAAAACATATATAAATGTTTGATAGAGAAAAAGAATGCTTACCTACCTAATTAAAACGTAAAGTATTAGAAAAAAAAAGACAGATATAAGTATATGATGTACTACATGTTAGGCAATAAGCTTAGGCGATATTGAACTGTGAGTATTTTAAAGAAGTTGTGATTCAATGATTTTTATCACTTGCATTGTCAAACGCATAGCGTGTATTTCTGTTATTTGATTACGAGCAAAATATTCAAAGCTGCGAGACGATTCTGGAGTACGCGCGCGCGCGCGCGCTCGCTCCGCACAAGTATAATGATCAAAAGGATTTAAAGTAATCGTAAAATTGGAAAAGTACTTCTATGCGTCTTGATAGAGGCATCTCCATGTCGTGCCGTCAAGTGCGTATACTTTGTAGTGATTTGTGATAAAAACTTCTTCTTTGTAATTGCGTAGACAGGTTGCCAAACGAGGTGCCTAAGAACATCTTTTACTATTTCTGAGCCTTCTACAATGAAGCGAGACTAAAAACTGTTGGGGTCAAGATCTTTAAGTCTGCCGAGCAGGTTGCCTTAATCATGCCTTACTTAAATCGTTACATATGTATCTCGATCTCTGTGCGCGTACGATTCTCTTGGGATTACATTTCATTCGGATCTTCGCTTCGATTGTATGTAGAAAAGGAAGGAAAAATACGGTGCAATAAATAATCTATGTTGCAGTGTCTCTTCTGTAATGATATTTGAATAGAAATTGTTGAAAAGTGAGCACACTTTAACAAATGATCTGGCTTGTAACACATGTTGATCGTTTCATTTAAATTGCTTTTCCAATCAGAAAAGCAGCAGAGGAGTATTGCAAGCTCCCACCAGAGATGTAAGTGTAAATTGCACACAACATGGATTATTCATTGTCTGTTGTATATAAAAACAGATAAATTTAATTCAATAAGCGTTTGTTAAGTAAAAATGATTTAATGCATGCACAGCAAGATTCTTTCTTTTTTAGATCTTTGATTCTTGTAGTGTATGATCTGAATAATGCTACCTGCCCCTTTTACAGCTATCTTGAAACTCTTGTACTGTGATATATTTTCAAACGTACAGGATCAGACAGTTGGACCTAATGATTTTTTCGCTTGTAGAGAAATGACAAGATCTAAAATAATAAACAAACTGTAAGAATAATCTTTCAATATTATTCATTTAGATGAATTAAGTTTTTAAAATTAAGTTCTTGTAAGTAAACATCGTTATATCTATAAATTGCAGTCTTTCATAAAAATTATTTATTCAGTAAAATATTTATTAATTGAATTCATGAATTTGCCATTATATTTTATCAATTAAAGAATATTTTCAGACTATTTTAAATACCTTTTCTTTGAGATGACCTCATTCACGCCAGCAAATTCAAGAAATAAATTAAAATCAAAATGTATAATGAATAACTTAACGAAAAATTCTTATACAAGCAAGTTAAGATTTGTTAAGATATAAAAGTGCATTTGTTTCTAAATTATTATTTATTATTTCTAAAACTTAATTCTTTATAAATAAATATTGAAGGATACTATTCTTCTTATTGAGGTTCCATCTGGTTTTATGAATATGAATATGAACCATTCCATTTAATATTCCTCCAGTCAATTCTCCAAATCAACCTCTTACAAAACCCAGAGCCGAGATCGAATTCAGGATTTACCAATCCTGGATTACGAATCGATCATTTTCATACGAAACTACATTCCTTTGAAAGATCATTCCTTCATGTTTTATTTGTTACTTTAGATCTCGTCATTCTTTTATAAGACAAAAAATTTGTCAGGCCTGACAGCCGCATCCTAGCTGTACGTACACGGAAAGAACAATTTTACTGAAGTATCTAAAAATTTAGCTTTTTACTTCTGATGAAAAAAATTCTTATATTTCATAATATTTTTTAAAATTTGTAGTTTGTATATTTTAAAAAGATATCTTAAACTTTTTTACTTATAGCATGAAATATGTAAATTTTTTGAAGTATTTTAATTAAATATTTTAGAAATATTTCATAAACATTTGTAAAACATTTTAAAATATTACAATAAATATTACATATTTCACAAAAATATTCTAGAAATATTGTAAAAATACTGTAAAAAATATTTTTATTTTTATTGAAACATTTCAAGAAATATTTAAAAAATAGATCTCCTATAGACATATTTATATTTCAGAAATATTGCATGCTATATAGACAGATTTTATAAGTTTTCTTCAGAAATTGTAGAATGAGTATTATTCTTAGAATTTTTCATATGTAAAGAATTCTAGAAGAAATGTAGACTTCCTCAGCTTTCTGAAAAATTTCAGTTTGTATAAACAATCTGATAAATTTTCTAAAACGTTATAAAATTTATATCAAAATTCTGAAAAATTATGTGAAAAATATAAGAAAATTTTTTATCAGGGACAAATTTAAAAGTAATTGCATCCCACTTCGTAATTAAATATTTTAACTTGTTAATGAATCAACGTCAAAATTTATTTCTTTTTTTTGCATTCGCTGAGGATGGCTGGAAGATTAGTCGAAACATTTGAACAATTTATTATGTAATTTTTACCTTATTAAAATATTCTTGTAGATAATTAAGTTTTTAAATGCGCACTGTTTAAATCGCGTTAACTCTAGTAACCCTTTAATTTTAGTTAAATTTGTACTAAAAAGTAATTTTGTTGAACCATCCAAATAGATTATGTAGGATGCTCATGATGATAATGCTGCAAAAAGTTTTGACATTCTAGCAACCAGTTTGGGTATCCTTATACATAATATTTTTTTAATAATCCCAAGAAAATTATTTTCAGATCTGTATCTATAGCTAAATTTTTATAATACTTCAGCAAAATCGTTCTCTTCGTGTATAGCGACGTCTTGTTATCGGAATACAGCGTACATCTAAAATTATAAACAATCGAAAGCGCACAAGTGACACGATGTAAAAATCGACAGCGCAAGGTATCCAAACTTTGTTTCATCGCGTACGCGCCGTGACGAATGCCTATACGGACGAGATGAATTTTCATGACGTTCGGCAAAGCGAACGACAGGAATTCTATTTGAATGTACTCGACTATTGTTCAGCATGTGCTTGTACGTTTAAATAAACAGTTCAGACCCACTGTTGCCGAGATATCTGCAATCCCCGTCCGTATTTATCCCCACTGCGTCGAATGACACACTCATCTCCGATTTGATAAACATTTTTCTTACAATTATTCGTGTAATTAGAATTTTTATACAGTTTATTTATAAATAGTTAGAAAATTTCTCATACATTTTTTTTACAAGCGTTGAGACATGTCTATACAGCTTTTCCGTAGGATATTCTAATGTGCAAATTCTAAAATATTCTAAAAATTTCAACATTCTTCATTCTATGTAATTTCTATAAAAATTTCTATAAAAAAATTATAAAAACTAAAGAAGTTTAAGGTATTTTTTTTAATATCTATGTCCATAAATTAAAAGTAAAAATTCTTGAAAATATTGTAAGAATTTTTTTTACCAAGCGAGTATTTTGAATTTTCCCGCTCGACCGCGAACAAACGTAATATACATAGGGCTGCGATCCGATTCACGCTCACGGCGCTCGCGAATCATTTCGTCCTTGTTGTTCATCAAATGGTAAACAAGAGCAAATGATGCTCGCAAGTGCTGCGAGTGTGAATTGGACCGCAGCTCTCGGTCGAAATCAATAAAAGAAGAGGAAAAACAATAACGCAATCTATGATGCAATCTAACGGCGCGATACATACCGCGATCTTAGAGTTCATCTATGTCCGAGCTTTTATCTTTTCATTCATTTACGAACTTTTTTATTTTTATTCGCCAACACATTCCTCTTCCCTTTTTCTATCCTCTTCCTCCTCCCTTTCGTGTACGAAGTGAACAATCGCGATTACTTCACATTATATTAGAGTTCTAGATAAAGGAGAGATTTAAGCGTAACTGGTGTAACGATTCTTGATTGGTTCTGCCGTTTTGTCTTCAAGTGTCGATTTTAATAAATATTCGATTTCTGTTTACGAAATTATGGGATATTTTTAAGAAAAACAAGAAACACTAAGAGACACCGAAAAACCGTCGAGAAATGCCATTACGGGAATTGCGTTCCATTAAGAAACAACAAAACATAAATAATTAAACGTATAGCCATTTTCTCTTTGAGATACCAATACGCAGGGTTGGGTAAGTTAATATATTTTTTTAACTAAGTTAAATTAAAATTAACAGTCTAAAAATTTAACTTAGTTAAGATACAAGTTAGTCCATAATAAAATTAATTAAGTTAAAAGTCAAGTTAATACAAAAAAGTAATTGAAAAGTTAAAGTTAAATTTTTTATTTTATAATTTTAGGGTTTCTAAAAAAAGTTTCTAAATAAAATATATATTTGTTATACTTCTGTCGAGCCGCGGAAAGAGGACCGATTTCGAAGGACTTCTTCCAACGTGATTCAATGCACAGAAGATCCGTGAACAGTGATTCCTTCCTGTGGCCAGACTATATTTATTATATTATTGCAATTGCCTTGATGTGTGTTCTCAAATTTGAGTTTGAAGACACTAAATTAGACATGTATTTTATTTTAGGTTTACAAGAAGCACTAAAAATGTAACTTCAAGAAAGTTAGATCAAAAGTTAAAATGTAACTAAATTAAGTTAAAAGTTAAGAGCTTAAAATGCAACTGTAAAAAGTTAAGTTAAAATTATTTAACTTTTTAACTTAACTTTTATCTTTTTAACTAGGCACTACCCAATCCTGCCAATACGTGATACCAATATATGTTAACGGAGTTGCGCTTCTCTCTTTATATGTATATCTAGAGCTTTACTGCGGAGTATGCGGCTCTTACGAACAAAACATTGTTTTTTTGCTTGTGAGATGAGTATCTTAGCATTTGTGGTGAGAGAAAAAATTTTTGACTGGCTGACAATGAGATCAAAATCCTGCTTCTCCTTCTCCTTCACCCCTCCATCCCTTCTACCTTGCCGCTATGCAGTATGAATATTGAAGCGAGAATCATGCGAATCTTTCGTTGTGCTGCACATCGAAGTGAATCGATTCGTGTACCAGCAACGCGCTCGCAATGGCTCTTTTTTTTATTAATGAGAGCACGTACGCAATTCCATCAGCATACATTAATTCGGTCTTTCCAATAAAAATAATATGAGATTTATTATTTATTGATCCAAGCAAGGCGAGAGTTTTCGGAGTTTGACAACTTCGATAAATTAGCTAATTAAGCGACGATTAACTTATAAAGTAATACTTGCAGTATTTCATTAATGTGTATAATATAATAAATGATACTTTTATTATAATTTTTATTTTGAGCGATTCTGTTAGTTAAATTAACGATCGATTAATTTAATGTTTAACTTAACTTAATTAAATTAATTTTATCATCGTAATTAACTTTTCAATACCTGCAGATTAACTTTTCGATACTTGCAGTGCTATTTTGTTAACGTAGATAAAATAATTAATTTTTATTTAATACAGAAAGAAGAATTAAATATAATTATGTAATTACAAATTTTGCAAAAAGTAATGCTATCAATCAAATTAATAAACGATTAAGTTAATTAGCAATCAAACAAATTTTGTGGAACAATTAATTTTTGTAACATTAAAAAAAAGATTAGAAATAGAAACGAAATTAACAATTTCGCAATAAGCCTATGAAATTAATCGCTGATTAAATTAATCAGAGGTTGAAATCATCCTTAATTTATTTCTATTATGTAAATTAATTCTAATCTCGGTTTAACTCTAAAATGTAGATTAATTCTAATCTCGGTTTAACTTACTCTTTATCTATCTCTATTATATAGTTACAAGAAATAGAAAAAGATAAAGAATAAATTAAATCAAGATTAAAAAATGATATAGTCTATATACTGATAGAAATAGGTCTTATCACCGATAATACTGTGAAAGACCGACGTACACTGCATTAATTCTTATAAGGCCCACTTTCACAATGTACGGTTACAAATTATCAAGATTAAAAATTATCAAAAAGTTTATTGTTTAATGACGTTTGATTAGGATTTAACCATCAAGTTCACTTGATGCCAACTCAACTAATGTACACGTAACCTTTAGTTTATTTGATTATAAGCTTATTAAAGTGTTTTAATTAACTTTCAAGTTTTAATTAATCTTTTTCGTTAACCATATATATTATGAAAATGGGCGTAAGAATTAGCATAGCTGTTAAAATTTATAAACAATTTTAGCTAATAACATGTCATTATTTCATAATTTATTATTAGACCAATGTTTTCTCGACATATATTTACAGCTTGCTAATAATATAAAATTTATTTAAAACTACTTTTTTATATAGTTATATCATCCGTGTTTGATATCGCCATAAAGATAATAACAGTAGAAGAAACAATTGTAATTGCGGCAATATACAGGGTGAGTCATTTTAATCGACGGATCCTAATATCTGCTAAAATACGCAAGCTACAAAAAAATGTTTCAGACAATGTCCCCCTCGAAATCCGAAAACTTTTGTCTGAAACATTTTTTTGTAGCTTGCGTATTTTAGCAGATATTTGGATCCGTCGATTAAAATGACTCACCCTGTATATACGATATTACAGCATTATAAGTATGTATATTTATTTATATAAAGCATTTTGTATAATAAACATCATTTTAATAATGCATATATTATTCAAATATATATATTATATATCAACAATCGTAAATTTACATCAATAATCGATAATGGAGTAGATTAGGTGTCTTAAATTTCATTCAGCGACACAAGTCGACATAAACATGATCATTAATTCTGTTTTTGCTGTCATTGAATGTAAAAAAAAAAACAGAATGATATACTTGCGTCGATTTGTGTTGCTGATGACAGACGAAGATTTCAAAATCGATCACACTCTTCAACTACCTGACTGTCCTGATTCGGTCCTCTTTCATGATCATGCCCAGGATCCTTTTTTTTTGACGATTTTTAATAGAATCCTGTCTTATGGAAATTCGAAAGTTATCTTGAGCGCGCCAGATCATCTCGATTATCTTGGACTCGGCTCGTCGCGTTGCACACCAACGTTGCATCGAGTGGACCATCTATACGAATTTGGCTTGTTCGCGGATGCCGTATACGGAGAACGTCGCACGCGCGCGCACGTGTGTGCGGTATGTGTGTACTGTTGTGTACGCGTGCGTGTGTGAAATCGGAGTCGCACTGGTACTACGAGCGCAACCGCGCAGCCGAGCCGAGCCGCCGCCGCCGCACTCGCCGCCATTTTGTTTATTTTCGCGTGACAGACGAGAGAGGATCCGTGAACGACGATCGCGACGTACGGGATCGGCCCGCGCGTATCCGTTCGTGCTGTGTTCTCGAGTAAACGTCCGTCTCCGCGGGCGCTGGTGAGGAGAGAGAGAAAGAGAGAGAGAGAGAGATAGTGAGAGGTAGGGAAGGAGGACCCGCTGCGAGAACGACGGTCGGGCACAGGTGGGTTCGCTCGCAGCCGGAAGTCGCAGTCGCAGTCGATCGAGAATCAGAGAGTGAGCCCGATCGAGATCCGTGGCGGCGACGGGATCCTACGAGTGGAGAGAGAGAGAAAGAGAGAGAGAGAGAGAGAGGGAGTGAGAGAGCGAGCGAGAGAGAGGGAGAGAAAGAGACGCGAAGTGAGTAACGGCGCAACATTGTCAAACGTCGTCGTCGTCGTCGTCCCGCGATCGTCGTCCCCGTCGTGTTGTGCACGCAGCCGTCGACGTAGTCGGTAATCGCGTCGTCGCCCGCCGACGAGCGCCGCGCCGGTAAAGCGCGCAGCGGAAGCAGTTTTTTTTTCACGAATCGGGACCGTGCGCGGCAGGGAGGGAGAGGGGTGAGGTCGGTGCGCGAGGCGCCGCGCCGGAACGAGAGGCGAGACGGCCGTCGCTGCCCGCCACCGCCGCCGCCGCCGCCACTAACACCATCACCGTCACCAACACCGCCGCCGCCGCCGCCGCCGCCGCCGCCGCCGTCGTCATCGCCGTCGTCGTCGCTGCCGCCGCCGCCGCCGTCGCCGCCAGCGCAGTGGCAGCAGCACAACCACCACAAACATCGTCACGGACGACTTCGCCGTCGCTACCGCTGCGAAGATTGCCGCAAGTTACGCTCAGCCGTGGCGACACTCGGAGGAGAGTTCGCGTGAAGGGAATACTCGACGCGGGGTAGTACGGGCACTCGAGTCGCGTACCTAGCGAACATTAAATAAACACACGAGGGTGGAATATATGCTGTGGGCGTCCCCCGTGCGAGTGGGGGCACTTGATGGCCGCAGAAATTGGGCGAACTGCGAGCAAACATCTATCGTCGTCGGAGTGCGGTAAAGCGACGTCGAGTCCCGGTAACGACGTGGGCTTCGATAGTAGCCGGGTGATCGTAGGAACGGAACAGCAGCAACCGCCGCAGCAGCAGCAGCAACGGCAGCAGTTGCAGCAATCGCATTGCCAGCAGCAACGGCAATCGCCGCCACCGCCACCGCCGCCGCCGTCGTCGCAACAGCAGCAACAGCAACTTCCACAAACGGATCGGACACCGTCGGCCACGGTACAGATCAGAAAGGCGCTCGGTAAAACGACAACAACTCCACCTCCACACCGGAATCGCGTGCCGCTCGCGACCGCGCAGCCAGCAGCGGGAAACAATCAGCAGCAGGCGCTGACCAACGCCGACAACGTAACCTCGACGGCGGAGGCCGTCACCGAGGTACCCGGCGCCATCAAGACGACCATCAACATCGGCTTCGCGATGAACCACGTAAACGACCAGGAGAATCTCAAGCAGCTCAGCCTCGCGCCCGTTCAGGTTAACGAGGTCGAGGAGATGGACACGCAGGAGGGTGAGTGCATTTCTCTCCGTCTATCTCTAAAATTCATCTATGTATCTAGCCATCTATCTCTTTTATCTATATATCCCGTCTTTTTAGATATTTAGCTATATATATGACTATATACGTAATAACTTATATATAATATATATATATATATATATTATATATATGTGTGTATGTATATATCTATCTCTCTCTTCTTGGCTTGTGCGAACGTAAGTGTGACTAGTACGAGTGCTTTCAGTGAGTGAGTGAGTGAGTGAGTGAGAGAGAGCGAGCGAGAGAGAGAGGGTGGAAGAGAGAGAGGCTCTCTTTGTCGGAGCTTCTCGCCAACTTTCTTCGAATTTTCTTTCCTTTTTTCCGTCCGGACGGCGAGCGTATGTTTGTGGAATCGTTTTTATATTTAGAGAAAGACACGGTGCAAGCTTTTTCATCCATCTGTTGAGATTACTGTACGGAACGCACGACCTAGCGGGCAATTCACTTCGCGCGTTACCGTTGCTTCTGCTATGCCAAGCACGAGATCTGTTCTCTTCAGCTGAACTTCTTGCACGACTTACACCGTTCATCTCCTTTCTCTCTCTCTCTTTCTCTTTTTCTCTTTTTTTTTTCTTTCACCAATAGTGATGAAAAATATATAGAAAAGATGTAGAACTGTGCGAGAAGCTCAGGCTGAAAAAAAGAACAGGTCCGCGATGACTTGAAATCGGGTAATTGGCTCTCCGTAATATTAATTAGCACCACTTGTGACTCAAATTTTTGTTCCACTTGGACTTGTGTATTATGTAAAAAAGCGAATTTGTTCCATTGACATTGAATATTAGAAAATAATTGTAAGAACTATTTTTATGTACGTAAACGAAAAGAAAAAAATAGGTGTTGATCTTTTATAAATAAATATTTTTTTTACAGATGCAAAAAAGATCGCGCGACTTTTTTTTATAAATCATTCTTTACAGTCAAACCGTCCACATTGAAAAATCGTCACGCAAATCGTACTACATTACATTATTATTTTTCTCGACATTCTCGAATTTTTCCTATTATTTTAGTCCACTCGAGAAGGACGTTCCTTTTTTTGAATATGTGGAAATATTACAAGAGCAAATCGTAAAAGTCGTGTGTACCGGTGGAAAATTGAAAAAAAAAAAAATATATATATATCTGATTGCAGATAGATAATATAGAACGGAGATATTGCGTCACAGTTCCATTATCAGAAATTTTCGTGGATATATAAATGTAATCACCGCTGATAAAGATTATTGTACTGTGTACGGCTGTTGAACGGGGTACTCCCTACATTTGATTCGGCCTTATTCCGCAGTGCATGTTACAAGTTGGCGATAAATAATACACACCGGCGCGATTCTGTATATTTATTGAATTATTGAATTCGGAGGAATGTGTGAAACATGTACTTTTAGTGCGGCGGCAAAGAGTGTGAATATTAACCTATAACTTCATGTACCTCAAGCTGGTGGTCAATTTTGTTTTGTTCTCTCTCTGTTTTCCTTCCGTAATTCTACTGGTAATCATTATTTGCCATCGCAAGCGTTCCACATGAGGTGTCCTTCCGTCTATTGCAATTTTTATATTCTTGTAAAAAAGATCTTTCTGAATTGCCATGTCGCTAGACCGATAGGTAAACCAATTGTTCCGTATCAGCATTAAGTTATATCGGATTAATTTGTACAAAGAAAAAACGTTACACTTGTATTTTCAATGTGCAATTTAATATCTGTATAAAAATATGACGTTTGTACGTCGCAAATTGTTGAATTAATAAAATCATATAGGCACTTGTCGTTCATCGAGTGAAATACATTGTGAAATATAAGGTTAACTTTCTATTTCCATTCTTTTGTATGTAAATACTTGACTATTTTTTTTTTTAAATATTTGTTAGATTTATGCGTTCTGTATTGTTAAGAAAGTGAATGTTAAATTTTATAGAGACCCCAAATGATGGTGGGGGAGACGGAACTGACAACCGTCCTATAAATGGTGAACCAGAATTAGCATGTATAGTTCAGGATCAAGAAATGGAGGAAGGTATGAATCTTGTTAAAACATGTTCTTTGTTTAAATTTAATATATAATAATTTAATATTACTTTATAACGTAGAGATAATCTTGCGGCATATACATGTAATCTTTTTCTTTTTATAACGTTTGTATATTATGTACTTTACATCTTCTTTGTTCTTGCTCATACAAAAGAATATAGATTAAACAAAATTTGTGCTTTTTAAATTGTTTGACAATCACTTTTACATATTAATTGTTTATTTTTATTTTATTCTCTAAATTCTATGTATTTCTCCCTCTATATATATTCCTGCTTTCATTTGTATCAGACGAGGCCAGATCGGAAGCTACCTTCCGATATACTGTCGAGAATATATCTAAGATGAAGGACTCGCAATTGTCCCCCGCGTGTTATGTGCGTAATTTACCATGGAAAATAATGGTAATGCCACGGTCAAGTCAAACACAGGAGAGACAACCACAGAGATCTCTTGGATTTTTCCTTCAGTGCAACGGAGAGAGCGAGTCCACGTCTTGGAGTTGTTATGCTGTTGCTGAACTGCGTCTTCTTTCTTGCAAAGAAACGTTGGAACCATTTAGCAGAAGTAAGTGAAATTCCAGTTTACTTTAATTTATTTATTAATTACATATTGATCGGCTTCAATTCTAATTGAAAACCGAAGCTGTACGTTTTTCTTTGCAATAATATATATCATATTTTTTTCTAGAAATTCAACACCTCTTCTATAGTAAAGAGAACGATTGGGGTTTTAGCCATTTTATGACATGGCAAGATGTTCTAGATCCCGAGAGAGGTTTCATAAAAGATGATTCAATCACGCTTGAGGTTTGTAACATATCTTTATTGACCGTTTTATAGAGTACTGATTTTTTCTTCTGTTCAGTTTTATTTAATTGCAATAAAACTTATAGCTCTATAATATGTTACACAATTTATATGATTTTTAAGTATCTTAAAGAATATTTTTTGATATAACAAAATATAAATATCTTTTTCTTAAATAGAACTTTGACAGAATTGATACAAGTGCCAAATATATGAGTGTCACTCAATTTTACAAAGAACTCTTAGGAAACCAAACATGTTTTCCCTCATAATTTAATTTTGTGCCATAAAATTTGTATTTGTTAAAATATTAAAATTTATCAGAAGACGTATTTGGTTTGATGGAAAATATTTTTGAAATTAAATTATATTTGTATATAAATTACATGATAGACAATATTAAAAAGCACTACTAATTCTATAGATTCATATTACATATTTAATTATCTTCTAATATTTCTTTTAATTTAGGTTCATGTAGTAGCTGATGCACCTCACGGAGTTAGTTGGGACAGTAAAAAACATACGGGATACGTAGGTTTGAAGAATCAGGGTGCTACATGTTATATGAATTCTTTATTACAAACTCTGTATTTTACAAATCAGGTTGGTAGAAGCAGGCATTTTTAGGACACGTGACAAATCATCTCGACATTTTCTTTATTAATGTACTCTTCTGTTTTTCTTTTTAGTTGCGAAAGGCAGTATACAAAATGCCAACTGAGAGCGATGATTCGAGTAAGAGTGTTGCACTAGCCTTGCAGAGGGTGTTTCACGAGTTACAGTTTTCCGACAAGCCTGTCGGTACAAAGAAATTAACTAAAAGTTTTGGCTGGGAGACGCTGGATTCTTTCATGCAACACGATGTGCAGGAATTTCTACGAGTGGTAAATATATTGCGCACTATTGCACAAACTTGTATCACACCATATTAGAGCTGGTGATTTGCTTCGAAGGCTTTGACATTCGAAGATTCGAAGCTTCGGCATTAAAATCTTCGAATTTTTTCGAAGTTTCGAAAAATACATTTGTGCAACTAATAAATTTATTCGGAAAATTTAAAATATTGTAAATAAAAGGAATTAATACATAGGAAATTATTTCTAAAAAATTTGAAAGTATTATAACCTGAAATATTACAAATTAATAATTAAATGATTTATTTATATGCAAATAAGGAAAGATAATGATCAATAAAATAATTCAATTAAGAAAATTCAAATTTTTAATGTATTTTTTAAAACTTCGAAGCTTCGAAGGTGTGAAGGCACTTTGAGCTTCGCTAGGTCGAAGTTAACGTCGAAGCTTCGAATATTCAAAGTGAATAAAAAGTAACAGCCCTACACCATAATATCACTGTCTATTGAAATTTTGATAATGCACGCGCATAAATTAATCTTGCGAAAATTTAGCTGTTAGATAAGCTGGAAAGCAAAATGAAGGGAACATGCGTGGAAGGTACAGTGCCAAAATTGTTTGAGGGAAAAATGGTCTCTTTTATCAAGTGTAAAAATATAGACTATAAATCCACGAGAGTTGAAACATTTTATGACATACAATTAAATATAAAGGGCAAGAAAAACAGTAAGTTTTATATTATGTGTTCTTTTTATCCGTGGCATTTGAATGACGAGAAACTAATTAAGATCGTATTTCAGTTTACGAGTCTTTTAGCGATTATGTGAGTACAGAAAGTCTCGATGGCGATAATAAGTACGACGCGGGAGAGCACGGATTACAGGAGGCGGAAAAGGGCGTAATTTTTTCGTCGTTTCCACCAGTTTTACACCTGCATCTAATGCGTTTTCAGTATGACCCAGTTACTGACTGTTCAGTCAAATTTAACGACAGGTAAGAAATGGAAATCCATTGCTTATTTTTTTATCTACAATGATCGTAATTATAATTTTATTTACGCCAAAAATTTTATAAAGATAAGAATGTGAATCTGATTTTACCTTTTGACGTGTAATAGTGTAAATAATTGTGTAAATTTATTGTTAAAGGTTCGAGTTTTATGAAAAAATTAGTCTCGGTAAATACCTGCAAAACAAAGAAACAACAAGTGCGGACTACACGTTACACGCTGTTCTCGTTCATAGTGGCGATAATCATGGAGGACATTATGTTGTATTTATTAATCCCGCTGGTGATGGCAAGGTAAGTAAATGATTTTGTGTTAATATCTGTTGTGTGAATTGAGTAATATTTACTAAGAATAATGTTCATAAATCTTTTTGGTTTCTCAATATATTTCATCTATACTTATGTAATAATTGTCATATTACACAATAATTATGAATTAAGTAATATTTATCAAATATAATATTCATAAATCTTTTACTTTCTCAATATATTTCATCTATACTTATACAATAATTATCATAAATTTATGTTTTGCATTGCTATCAAACTGATTTCCTGTATGATCCTCGGTCATATATTTTATGTGTTTATTTTCATATTTATTTTATAGTAAAGTCCAAAAAGAATATAATTTTGTGTTATACAGGATAATATCGTGCGCCATTTCCTTTTGTACATTTCAACAAAAATTATACGATTTTTAAATGTCCTGTTTATATGTCGCAACATCTTCCTAAAACTCTTCTCTGATCTGTTTTTTGTGGCAGTGGTGTAAGTTCGACGACGACGTTGTCTCGCGATGTACAAAGCAGGAAGCTATCGAACACAACTACGGTGGTCAAGACGAGGACATGTCTATGGCTGTGAAACATTGCACTAACGCTTATATGTTGGTTTACATAAGAAATTCAGAGCTGGAAAACGTCTTGCAAGAGGTCAAGGAAGAGGATATACCTCAAGAGGTCAGAAACGTCTCTCAAAGAGAGCTTTCCCAGGAGTTGAGCGACCTTGAACGTGACAAAGACGCGACTGACTCGATTAAAGACTCTCACACAGAGACGGCGACCCTTCGTCCGTGCACTCAAAATCCTCGAAATCCAAATCTCTATATTCATGATTTTTAACCGACAAACGCCGACGGTGAAATAGGTGTAAGAAAGTGTAAATTGCTTACGTTGCTTCTCGATCAAACTCTTCCTGAAGTTTCGATGTTATATTGAGCTACTGTGGGGCTTGTTCATAGCATTAGAATTCGTCAGAACTCGCATATTACACATTGTAATTATATATACATATGAAGAAAAAAAAAGAAAACAAAATCGAGGCGACTTTTCTGCCCTCGGTTGCGATATTTTGGCTACCACACATTGATAGCTTAATTTTTGAGATTGTATATGTGTGTATTATACAAATTAGAAAGTTTTATTTAATGAAAATATTCTATTATTATACGTTTTTCGAGCAGTTGTTGACTAACTTTTATCTTTTGAATTTTCTTAACAGAGATATACATTGACATCAGCCCTTGGGCTGCTATACTGATTAAATGTTGACATTGCGATATAAATCATGTCTCTATTTGTAGATACAGTGTTGCATTCGGAATAGTGTAATACTTGGTACAAACCTATTCAGATATGTATTATCAGAATTGATTTTCTGACGTATTAAATTCGAGTATGTTTTAAAGGTGAGGAACTCGGTTAATATTGGGAACGTTCCAAAAGATGATACATGTATATTACTGCATGTATATTACGGATGGAACTGTGTGATTCATGCTATATAGAGATTTGTTTTTTTTTTTTTTATCGACAAAAACGCCTTTTTGACAGAGGATTTTTTTACATTACGGACGCTCGCGTGGCATATATATACAACATGAGAATCATGTGATTTTTTTAAATTTATTCTTGTCTTAACTCATAATTTTATATATCGACAACGCAAGGAATTAAAGAGAAAGATCCATGATTGATGTGCGTGTTGCATTTTTGTCACTTTTATCGGAAAACATTTTATCCATTGAATTGGATAAAGTCTGATCGTCAGACTAATATCGTGATGAGCCTTAGGATTATTTTGGGAATGTTTATTGTATAACAAACATTGTATAATACTATATAACAAATTTAATCATTGTATTGTAGTATATTGAAATCGTGAATGAGAAGAAAAAAAAGTGAACAAACATATCTCAAGAAAGGATTTTGGATATGTGTGAATAATTGTATAAGAGAATTAGGGGAAAAAAAAACAAAAACACAGTTATTAGTGAGAATATACTAAGTATCGATTCGAGCTAGACGAGTTCCGGCTTAGCTCTTGCAATAACATACGAGAAAGAGAAGAAGTAATCGATAAGTAGTGTGTCACTCTTGTGTCAGAAACATCAGCTTCCTTGAAATGTCTTCTTTAGCGTGTTTGCTATTTAACTGGATTGTTTAGTGAGTGAGACATAATGTGATTTATATTACTCACCTTTGCAGTTTTCATCAACTAATATTTATAAAGTCGAATACAATAATGAGTAAAAGTAAGAACTTCGTGTTTCAACAGAGAATGCAATCACTTAAGCAAGTCGTTGATTCATTAAATTCTCTCCATGTTAATAGTAATTATGATCATTGACAGATAACTATTTATTTGTTGTTATATATGAATAATTAGAGAGAGAGGGAGAGAGAGAAAGAGCGGGAGAGAGAGAAAAAGAGATGAAAGAACGCTGAAAATATCATCGATAGAGTAAAAATACTTTATAATAGCTTTAATCGTGAGATACCTTTAAATGCTATATCACTATTTTATATATAAAAAAAATAAAGAAAAAAAATGATAACGAATAAATTGTTGAATACTAGAAAATTTCACAGCCGGAAACCGCGTTAATGTTATTTATTTTTATACCGCTTTATTCTTATACTCGTATCTTATACGACATTCAAATAATAGAGATATCCAAGTTACAAGGCATCTCCACACTACTATAGTTACACATTACATTGTTACAATTATTTGGCATGGGTGGTGGTTATAGGCGTATTGATAGATACGTATTTTATATATGTGCATGTACACATTGGTTAAGGTAACTTTTGTTGTTGTTTTTTTGCCAAGATTAATTTCTTCAGAACGTTAATTACATAATTTGGATGTTCTCGAGGCGGTAAACGCGACATATAATTAAAGTAAGATTACCCCAGGATTTATACGTCTCGTACTTATCCACCACACACACTTGTGTCCACCAATTTATTTACCTTTAATTACTAATACTATATATTTTTACTGTGTGCTTGTATTTATTAGCCAGGAAGAGATAACTGGGAACCATCACTCACCGCCAAATAATTTTCATTGTGTAATTGTTTGACTTGGTAGTCGATATAGCGGCAGATGAACAAAATTAAAATTACAAAGAAAAATGGAAATTGTACCGTCATTCTTTTGATGTTTCGAATACGATCCGTTCTCGAATCTCAAAAGCATGATACCGAGAGAAATGATCTTTTTCTAAAAATATTTAAAAAAAGAAAGAGAGAAATCAAATCGCATAAAATTTGAAAAGACAGTCGAGGAAAAATGATTATTGAGAACGAAAATGAGTACACACGTGGATAATTTTAATTTTGTTGGTCTAGCTGGTGGAGAGGCTGCAAGAGGAGAAGAGGCTGGAACAGATAAGAAGAAAGGAGAGAACGGAAGCATACTTGTACATGACCGTTAATGTCCTTCTCGAGGATAGCTTTGACGGTCACCAAGGAAATGATCTCTACGACCCAGAGCACGCTTTATATCGTGTATTTCGCGTACGTAAGCAGGCCACTGTGCACGAGTTTCTCGAGCTACTGAGCGATAGTCTGGTAAGTGAGTTCAATAAAAAGACACACTGCGCACGTTCCGGTATTTTTCTTCCGAAACGTTGCTATGTATTAAAGGCTGATTTTGTGCTTTATATGTGTACATCAGGATTTATTTACCAAGTAAATCAATACTGATGTGATATCTAATATGTTTTGCGGGCTATACGGTGATTTATTAAACTGTATTTTTATCACGGTAGGTAATGAACTTGAAAAGAGTACGTTGGCATTTTTTCATTAAATGTATAAAAACGGGAAATAATAGAAAAAATATTCTAATTTTTTCTGCGAAATAATACAGTGAAAAATGATATTGAAAAATTGATTTTCAAAACAGTCTTTATTTTCAATATTTTAGAATTTAAAAGTTATTTTTAAAAATGCTTTATCACTATTTTAGATATCAAAATAAAGAAGAAAAAGATAACGCAAGAGCATTGTTGAATACTAACAAAAAATTGTGTGGAGATGACAGATGTGTTTAATATTATGAAATTTGTTCTACAGAAATATCCCATAGAACAGATTCGCATTTGGCCCTTCAGCACGCGTTCAAATCAAACCTGTAGACCTACGCTAATCGAGCCGGACGCTGATCTTCAAAAGCCCATCATCGACTGCGCGGAAAATCATAATCCGTGGAACGTATTCGTTGAACTCGTACCTCCAGACTCTGACATGACAGCGTTACCGCCTTTCGACAAGGACACCGATGTCTTACTCTTTTTTAAACTCTACGATCCCAAAAATAAGAAAATCCATTACTGCGGCCATCACTATATGCCTGTTGTAGCTAAAGTCCGTAAGTTGAAATTTCAATATACTTATATAATATTGATATATTAGAAAGAATATACATTATTATATTTTAAATGTTATTTGAAAAATATGTACATGTACAGATATTTAGTTTAACTATATATTCACGATCAGTTATTTTTTTAGATAATAGAATTAGAAAAAATTTTGAAAAGTCATTTTATTTAAGAAGATCTATATAATAATTCAAACAAAAGTTTTAAATTATTTTTTTAATTTTTAAATCTCTGGCTAGGGTGATATTTGTCGCAATAAATTGTTTGTAATAATACGTTTAAACATGCTTATGAGTATCATTATTAAATTGATTATCAATTTAATTGATGGTATTAATATTCCATTTATGCTTTAAGATTGCATTTCGATCGATTGTATTTAGCGTGTTTGAACTAAAAGATGTATATAAATTCATGTAGAAAATTTTATTAAGTACTAAAATCCAATTCTATAACCGTATAAGGCTCTTATACTTTCCGCTTATTTGTATTATTTTTTAATGTGTTTTTAATGACAAGTTTATTTTTTAAACGAAATAATATATCTATTTTATCACAGATTTGTAAAATAGTTTGACAAATTCAATAAAAACGATTTTCAGTAATCGTTCATGAGATATTGTCTCTATTTGTGTTACGTTTAAATATAAGCGGAAAAACAAAATATCTAATAAAAAAGTATTTATAAAAAAATAATTTAAATCTTTCATTTAATAGATCTTTTAATAGTCTTAATTTAAAATTTTTTCTTATATAGATCTTTTCTCAAATAAAATTATTTTTGTTCGAAAAATGTTTTATAATTCCTATTCAGAAAAATAACCAGATGTTTTACATTTAAAACAACACCGTGCACCTAAGTATATTTGATAAATTTTACAGAGGAGCTCATACCAATTTTAAACGAACGCGCCGGATTTCCACCGGACACAGAGCTCGCCTTATATGAGGAAATTAAACCGAACTTAGTTGAGAAAATAGACAACCTGTCCGAGCCTTTGGAAAAGGTTCTCGAGGAATTAATGGACGGTGACATCATTGTATTTCAAAAGGAAGGAGATAATGAAATGTATGAACTTCCAACGTGTCGAGAATATTTTAAGTGAGTAGTATGAATATAACATTTTAATCTTTTATCACCGATATACCTTGAGAGTATCTTTAAATATCTATAATATCACCAAACACACTTGCTAATCTAGTACGATTTGCATATTTCAGAGATCTATTCTATAGGGTAGAAGTAACGTTTTGTGATAAATTGATTCCGAACGATCCAGGTTTTACAATGGAACTTTCGTTGCGAATGACATACGATCAAATGGCAAAGGCCGTAGCGCAGCGAGTCGGCACAGATCCGTACCTTTTACAATTCTTCAAATGTCAAAAGTAAGAATGTCGATATTCCTTTTAATGTCTCTTAGACCCAGTTTCACAATTAGCGGTTAACTCGATTTAATCGTCGAGTTCAATTCACTTCTTTCAATCTAAGAATTAGAAAAAGATAAACAGTAAGTTAAGCTGAGATTAAAGTTAATCTTACATTTGTAACCGTGCCTTTGAAGGGTCAGGCCGCCACTCCTGAGGTTTTAAAATGATACCTTAAGTTCGGGATTTTTTGTGGGTAAATGGATAAACTTTACTTAAAATCTGTTTAGAGGACCTTATTGTACATATATAAGAAACCAAATAAATATTTTTTTATTTTTTTTATGTTCCAAAATTACGGCGCACTGGCCTACACTTGCGGAATCCCTTTTTACCATCGGTGTATAGGAGTCCAGGCACACGGTTTGACCTTGAACAAAATACAAAGAATTTTCAATATCTACATATTAAAGACTAGAGAAGTACGTAGGTATTTTTCAAAATATTGATTTTTCTCAAAATGGCAGCTATTTTACGAAAGACTTGTATTAAACAAAAATACGAACTTTTTGTAAAAAAAGCTGCCATTTCGAGAAAAATCAATATTTCGAAAAATCCCTACGTACTTCTTTAGTCTTTAATATGTAGATATTGAAAATTCTTTGTGTTTTGTTCAAGGTCAAATCGTGTGTCTGGAATCCTGTACACCGATTTGAAAAAACAGTAAAAAGGGATTTGGCAAGTAGGCCAGTGCGTCGCCATTTTGTACATAAAAAAAAATTTTGTTAGTTTCTGATATATGTACAATGTCCTCTAAACAGCTTTTAAATAAAGTTATCTATTTACCCACAAAAAATCCCAAACTTATAGGTATCATTTTGAGGCCTCAAGGATGGCCGCCTGACCCTTTAATGTTAAATGTCGAAATTAATCGAATTGTTCTCGACAAGGTTCTCTATTTTCGAGACGTTTTTAGAGGAAGGGGCTTTATTCTGAAATTCTTTTTACAGCTACAAGGATTCTCCCGGCCATCCTCTTAAGTGTACATTTGACGGCACGCTTAAAGAACTGGTTGCGTACTGCAAGACGAAAGTAAAGAAATTATTTTATCAACAGCTCAGTATTAGGGTGAATGAGCTGGAGAACAAGAAACAATTCAAGTGCATATGGGTAGGGCCGTCGCTTAAAGAAGAGAAGGAGATGATCCTTTACCCGAATAAAAACGGCACCGTTGCTAATTTGCTCGAGGAGGCTAAGAAGCAGGTGGAATTATCGGAGAACGGTTCGGGAAAACTGAGGATATTGGAAATGACGTGCAACAAGTTGTCGCCCGGGCCTGTGGACGACACGCCCTTAGATCACTTAAACACATCGGGCACCAAGTTGTACAGGATAGAAGAGATTCCGATTGACGAGGTGAATCTGGCCGAGGGCGAAATGCTAGTTCCTGTTGCGCATTTTCACAAAGAGGTTTTCTCAACGTTCGGTATTCCTTTCTTCTTCAAGATTAAGCATGTGAGTGCCGCGTTTTGAGAATTATTAAATCGGCGCTAAATGTAATTAGGGGCCGTCCATTAATTACGTGAGCGGGGTAGGTATTACCGGGAAAACCTGGAATTCTCAGGGAATTTTATTTTCATCCTTGAAAATCATGGATTCTTATGGAATTTTACTTGGTACTCAGGGAAATTTTTTGAATTTTACTTTTAAATTTAATTTTATCCCTTTAGAAAGTAAACGTGGTTCCATATCGAAGGTCCCTGATATTAAAAATTAATTTATTTTAAAATTGACATATACTATATAAAGACTCTTTAATCTAAAAAAACGATAATCCGGAAATAATAAATCAGGCATTAAAAATCTAATAACGCAGGACTTGATGCGTGAAACAATTTAATCTTCACATATGTAGTTACATCTCCATACCAAATTTTTCGTTACGTTCGAAAAATTTTGTGTGGAGACGTAACTATTGTATGTACATATGAGAAGATTAAATTGTTTCACGCACAAAGTTCTATACGTTATTAGAACTCTTGCCAAATTTATTTTAAAACTATATTAAGAAATTTTCTAATCTTACCTGGAATTTTGAATAAAATTCCTGGAAAATCTAATCTCCTGGGAATTTTTAGAGAATTTTTTTACAAAATTTGAGTACCCACCCTGATGAGTGTTATTTTCGGTATTTCAGATCCTCCCTCTCCCTACATGAGTCTTCGTATTTTGATTACCCCTTCTCTCCCTCCCTCGATTTCACGTAATTTTTTTTTTTATATGTTCAATATATGAACAAAAACGCACATATTGAACTTACACTAGCTTGGTCATCTTCCGCTATGAGAGACTCTAGCGAGAACTTATGTAAGGCACCCTCTGACGACATCCCCCCCCCCTCCTTCCTCCATATGAGCACATAGAAATTTCGCTGACTGCCCCCTCCCTTCTAAAATACTCACGTAATTAATGGACAGCCCCTTACGCGATGCAATCGATAATCGGTGTGTGTGTTTTTTGCAGAATGAACCGTTTCCCAAGATGAAGGACAGGTTGTTAAAGAAATTAGGCGTTCAGGAGAAAGAATTCGAAAAGGTAGGCATCCTTAGCTAGTCTTTTTTCGATCTTTTATGAGAATTCATAAAAAAACTTTGAAGTTTAAGTTCGCGGTGGTGACGATGGGCAAGCCGCAGTTCATTATCGACTCGCCGGACTCTTGTATCAAAATCGAGGATTTCCTTCCCAGATACACCGGTCAGGGTAAGTGTAAAGAAAAGGGAAAAAGTACCGCGATCCCTTTTATTGCGGATGCATAGCGATAAAACGAGCGTCGAATCGCGCATGGCCGTTATATTCGCAACAATATAGGGCACTGCCGATACGATGCTAACGAAGAATGAATTTTGTAGTCTGTCCACTTTTAAACGCAGGCACATCGCCGCACAGGCCCTGGCTTGGCTTGGAACACGTCAACAAAGCGCCGAAGCGCTCTCGTATCAACTACCTCGAAAAGGCCATTAAGATTTACAATTAAATTTCCACCACGCGAAGAAGAGGTTAAATTAGGCAGCCACTCATAATAATTTATACGTAATTCTGTATAGTAAGAGAACGACGTCTGATATATATTGAAAAGGTTGGGAAAATGCGTTTCACACATTCGTTTCTTCAGCCGGATTAAAATACGCGATTTTAATACTGCAAGAACGACATCGGACGGTAAATCTTGGTATACGATGGATTATATAAGAGAACTATCGTGAAGTGTGCAGTGCTATTTTACGCATCATGGAAGAGCGATAACATAGTTCCTCGATTCGAATTTGTAAAGAATTTTACGTAAAATGGCCCAATAGCTTATTTTGGCGTCACTCAGTACGGATTTTCGCCTAGACTCCGAAAACATTTGATTACGAAATGCACGTATATATTGTATCTAATAATATTATTGTCTGATAATTATCTCTAATAAACTATTTCTTTCTTTTTTTTAATTTTATTAGGAAACAGACTTAAAAATTCCGGTTCTTACCCTAGATAGAGGTTGTACATAATCGATTACATCTACCAAGCGGTGTCGCAAAACGTTCTGCATGATGTAATATTTAACATCCGCAACGTCACGAATGAATCGCTCCTTTTTTTCCGTATTCGCAAGATGTTTGAAATGTAAATTTGTCATTAAAAAAAAAAAAAAGAACAAAATTTTTAGTTTCTTAAAGAATTCAAGATAAAGCTTTACTCAAATTTTATTTTGTTTCTAACGAGTGTCTCATTGAATTCAAAGTGCACGTTAAGGTTGAAATTTCTTTGTATTTTCAAACAGCGTATAGAGAATATATTTATTTTACGTTATATATTACATAATATATATATATTTTTTTTATTTTACACGACGTCATAGAAAGAGTGGAGAAGAAAGTGCACGAACAAAATTTCTTCAAATTGCCTTTCAAACATCCTGGAATATTTTTCTTGCGTTTCAATGTATTTTCGTGTTATTTTCCATTAACGTGTTTTATGTAGAAACTGTGAAATTTTGCACGTGTAAGAGCGTAAGCATGAGGTCGGCGAAACGAGTGACGCTTAATCTAGACGAAAAAAAAGTTCTCGGCGAGATACAAACGCTTATCGTTGTAATAGGATATTTCGCGGCTCTTCTTTTGTTTTTTATTTTAACGCGGGGCGAACACATAACCGCTGCTCCGTTCTTTAGGGAGCGACGTAGGAAGTTTAACGAGATTCAATTAAGAAGTCATAGTATTCTCTACTCGATCGATAAATTAACGCTCTATTTCCCCCATTTTATACTTATAATTTATAATAAACGGCAAGATTATAGATCTCGCGCGGTGAATCACTCCCGGCACGGTGACCTGCGCCCTCGTGCAAGATCTGTCGTTTGTGGAACCTAATTATTTATCGTTTTCTACATTTTACTGTGATCGACTCAACTTAGCCAACATGTATTTAAACCACCACCGCCGGCTCTCGTTTATTTGAAGTAGCATAATTGTAAATGGAGATGCTGAACTTTCTACGTGGATTATTTAATAAAATTTCTTTTTAAGTTGAGGAACTGTCTACTATGGCCGTAATGAGATCTGTCAAGTTCGTAAGCTTAGACGTAATTGCATTAAACTATATCTCTTGAATGCTTGAAATTATAGAACGTCGCAGGGGAAATCGCTTCTCGAGGGAATATGAAAGTAAAGTTCGCAACACGAGAATGGTATTAACGTTTATATATATATATATATATATATATATATATATATTATACGTGATTTAATCTGCTAAGATTTTAACGGACTCGCGTTTCGCGCTGCCTCGATCAATAATAATACAACTAAAAGGAACCTTGATGTAACACGCAATGGTTTTCGAAGAAGAGACTGGACGCATAAGTTAAGCGCGTGACACGCACGCAGAGTATTTTGTAAAAGGAGAGAAAAAGAAGAAGATTAAATGTACAGACTGTTCGGTGACGTGTAATCTCAATATCGTGTATATCTAAAGAAAGCTAATCCAAATTATGTTCTATGTCGTGATCTATGGCGAACGTTTTTGTTTTTGCTACTTACATAGGTATTTACGTTTACTTGAATCTATTCAGAATCGGCATGCCTGTTTAATGTGTCAGAGTGGATGCGAGAGAAAAAGAGGGAGGGGGAGAGAGAGAGAGAGAAAGAGGGAAAGTGTTTGTATGTATATGTGTGCATGTATACGTGTGTCATCATAGATTTCGAGCTGTAAACAGCATCATCGCAGATCCAATTATTATTAAAGAAATATTTCCCACGAATACAGTCGAGATAAATAGTGTCTTTGTATGCCTAAAGATTGGTGTTTGCAGTATTCATTATATAATCGCGTATGTTCCTGACTGCATTTTTTTCATGGCGCTATCCTTTTTAGAGGAAACAAAGGGAAAAGGAAGCGATCACTTTACAAGAGAGTTTGTGCTGAATCGCAACTGAAAAGTACCCTAATATGAATAGATCTCTCGCGGTAGAAGCGGCGGATAATCGTGTTCGAGAGGGGGAAAAAAAGGCGCGACGCGAAATTGTTGCAAACATTATTTCCGTAGCGGAACATCATATGGATGGAAATAATACGAACCATGCATATTTTATTGTTTATATACATATAATGTTATATATATATATAAATATACATATACGCATATGTATATTTCGTTGTTAGGCTCGGAGAATATTGCTAACGGCAATCCTGAGGTCGAGGCTGGCGCACCAGACACGGCCGATTAATGACAAAGAAATATACCTTCTTTGCGAGGGGAAAAAAAAAAAGAAAGAAATCGTATTATTAGACCTATCGGAAACGCGGCCGCGTTTCAATTTATTAATTGTATTGTCGAGATGCGTATCGGCGATTGTAACGAGAAAAGCGGTTCGCGAGAGAGAAAGCAAGCCGGGAGAGGAGAACCGACTCCGGCATACGACCGCTATATAATAATAATAGGTTGTACACACACACACCAGACACTTTTGCGTTTTTTTGTAGAGCTGACTCTATAAAGAAAAACTGCTCAACACTGCGATTGTAAATCGGAATATTTGATAGTTCATTTCTAGGGAGGCGAGACAATTAAGTGCAATGCAGATAAATGCGTAAAGGAGAATGATAATAAAAAGCAATACAACTGGACGCGTCGTTATTTTTCAACAACACGTCGTCGTTTCTTTCTTGGCGAGAAGAAAAGCCTTTTGAAGCTTCGTTTGTATCGTTATCTATTATCTATTAATCGACAGTGTCTGTTAACGAAGAATACGAGAAAATAGTTTGAACGTGATCACGTGTGACATTGGCTGTGTTCAGCAGAAAAAGCAGCTTTGTAACTGTTACAAAATTTTTTAATTTGATTGGTTCTCGCCCTTAGTTCCTCACGGATCTAAATGTACAAACCAACCATATTAAAGAATCTTCAGTCCATTTTTCTGCCGTTGTAGATTAACTTTAACCTCAGTTTAATTTACTCTCTATCTTTTTTCTAATTCTTATATTAGAATGAGGATAAAAATTAAGTTAAACCGAGATTAAAGATAATCTACGTTGGTAGAAATAAACATTATAACAGTTGCATAGTTGCTTTCTTTGCTGAACGCAGCCAATAAGAAGAGAAATTTGAGTTTAAACTTGTCAATCATTATCAATGGATTAAGAAGAATGGCATTACGATTGGAGAGCTTTGACCGCACCCTTGTAATCTCGTGCTTTGCAAACATAAACTAAACACGTTTGAGAGATCTAATTTTTATGTGGAGTCAGCAGAAATTTGCGTTTACTTTGAAAAAGCACAGCATATTCAAACATGTTAAGTCGACTTTCTCCAATGTTACGTCGGAATTTTCTTACGACCGATCGAGATTCCTTTCGCTTACGTATCACGTTGCCACTGGTTCACGATACAAATAACAGATTAAGAAATTGGACATTAAAATTAGTTGCGACAACGCGCGTCAGTGATAAGAGAAGTCGATATTACATATTTGTCGCCCATTTTTAATTCTCAGATTTACGAAGGCTATTTGCAAGACTTGTTTCCATTTAAATTGTACAGCTGATGTGTGATAAATCCCCTCACTCCCCATATTTAAACACGATATGAAGAACTTTTTTCAGATATAGATTATTCAGAAGAGCCTATCCAAGTTACAACTGTTAATATTGAACGTTGCCAGAAGAAGTCATAAAGAAACGTTAAAATTGACATCAAATTTTTTATATATTCATATTTTATATTTTGTTTAGACACATCTAACACATAAATAACCAAAATTTATAGGCAATCTGATGAAAATTTTTTCTTAGAATTATTTACTTAATATTTTAGAATGTTTATGTAAATTTCAAAATTTTTTTAGAATTTTTGTATAATTTTTTTAAGAAAATTTTTCGGATTTTTTTTTTATACAAATTGAAACACTTCAAAAGTGCTAAGAAAATCCACATCTTTTTTAGAATTCTTAATTCCTATACATGAATTCTGAACAATATTCTAAAATTTCTTTTTCTTTTATTCTAATTTCTGAAAAAAAATTATAAAATCTGCAGAGTTTAAGGTATTTTTTTTCAGAAATCTCCATAAATTTAAAATATAATATTCTTAAAAATTTTACGTGAGATATATTTTTTTCACACCAGAGAATTGTGGGCTGCCATAAAGTCGTTCTGACAAACTCGAAATGAATTGAGATCTAAGTGACCTACATCTCGCTTGTTTTTTAGCGTGAAACTAGATATGAAAATGAATTTATTGAATTGACTAACATTTACGAAAGTTTCACGTCTTTCCCGCAACGAAGGATATGCGCGTTAAAGGATCACACACCCTTCGCCGAATGCGACCTGGGGACTAGAAAGAACTACTAGGTTACACTTTCACTTCGTCGGAGCATAATTGTTAGCTATGTCGTATTGCTCTTTCCTCGTTGTCAGCCGCTCTCGTTTATCAAGTGTGCCGCAGTCCGTACGCACCATCGATCCGCGATTGCACGTTATTGAGCCTCGCTGGCGACCGTTCCGAACACGGGGAGATAACAGCTTCCTTCGACGATCGTCCCATTGTGTCCTGCAGGTCACCCTCGTGCACGACAAGTAAAAACGCCTAGTTTGCGTAATTGAGAAGCGACGTCGCCTTATCAGAGAACATCGCGTTATCGGACCGCTGCGTTATCAGAGCGAAATAATTTCTCACAATTTCTTATTCGTTCGCGAGTGTTCTCTGAATGAAATTATCTTCCGACACGAATCTCGCGATATCTTACGTCATATTCTTGTCTTTTTCTAATTTTCGATTCACACATTTTTTTTTGTCATATCGCTTCTATTCTTTTTTTTTTAATTTCAATAAGTGTATTCTTTTTTTCTTTCTGCCTCTTTCCTTCTTTAGATACATATTTTTTGTTCATATAATTATTTTTGTTCCTTTTAATTTCCATGCTTTCTTTTTTTCTTTCTGCTTTCCCTCTTTAAATAAATACTCTTTTTGTCATACTGTTTTTATTTATTTATTTTTTTAATTCGTATGCATTCTTTTTTGCTCTTCTTTTTCTTTTCAAAATGCATGCATATGTATTCTCATGTCGTTCGCCAGTAGAAATAATTAGTTGAATCGATTAGCCGGTTTTCTTTTGTTTTTTTTTATTTCATGCATTTTTTCTGTTCTTTTTCCCTTTTCAAATAGATTACCTTTTGTCTTATCGTTTCTATTATTTTTTTCTTTCTGCCTCTTTTCTTCTTTAGATAGATAATCGCTATCTCCGCTGAAATGTTAAGTCCATCCCACACGTGACTTTTAATCCTTTCGCTACCAACAGGACTGTGGCTGCGGATACTCTCGTTGTATAAGAGCGTAACTATGTTACATACACTTCGCAACGAAAAGATTTTCACTACGACAGCATTCGTTTGTACAATGATTTAATAAATAACTGTAACCGACTATATATAATCGGCGTTATTCACAAAATGTTGCATGGCTGACAGCTACAATCGGTTTAAGTAACGAAAGGATTAATTTCATCTCGTATCATTTTTGTATATTTCCATTCACGATCAATCTGTTGCGATTATTTTCATATATTCGTTGCGCAATTTCGGGTCGATATATAAGCGAATTCATAAACAAGCTATTCTCGGATATCAGTTGTCCACACGCGATAAAAATATCAAAAAAGAAAGGCATATGATGAAAGGAAGAGGAATGTTTATATCTCTTTTCGGGGATTGAGCTGAATCAAAATAAAAAAAAAATAGAAAAATCTTTAAAAAACTTACATATTAATTAAATTACTTTATACTTACGGTTAATTAGCATTAACCGTAAGTATAAAGTCTTCAGAAATTGACGTATACAAGTTTTATATCTAACGAAAAATAAATTAAAAACAATTTATTGAAAAATATTATTTGATAACAAATTTTGTTAATCTTTTTTTAACTTTTATTAACGTCTTTTCCAAAAAAGTGCAATAAATTATGGGTGCTTTATACTTATAGCCGAGACCACAAAAGGTATAAAATATTTTTGACAAGTAAAATGTCAATTTATAAAGCTAATAGAGATATATATTGATATTACATCTCTGACATCGCTAAAGGCGAAAAAAATTCGGGCAAATAGTAAAACTGTCAAGATAGGAGAGGCCAGCATATGCGCGCGTGATAGAGGCAAGCATTCGAAGGTTTGATAAAAAAAACGTTGACCGGACTGGCCGCGTCTATAGACGCGTGCGCGCAGAGAAAAAGTCGCTGATCGTGCGCCAGCCCGTTTTCAAATCACGCGATCTCTCACGAAGCTCGGATCGCGACCCGTCCGCTGCACGAGACGATTCGTACTTTATACATTTGTGTGTGTATATATATATTGTCGCGCGCGTTACAGTTCTTTCTTTGTTTTCCAACGTTTCTCACGAAGATCTGAAAGTGTTTCAGCGGAAATTCCGTCGTTGCCGCGACCGCGAAAATTGGTTTAATCGAAAATTGGTGTTTTATCGATCGATGTGTATATCAGGATTTCGAAAATTTTAAGTATTTCAGAAAAATTTATATTGTGTGAGATAAAAATGTAAAAGGACAAAAAGTGGAAAAGAACAAACGGAAAAATCATAAAGTGCAATCGATATAAAAATAAGGGTAAATATCACGAGTTATATTGAGAGGAAACTTTTTCGGGGCATTTTAATTCTTCGAAGAATCGGGCATATCAAACTTAAAAATAGGTACAAGTAGGTATAAATGAGACCTATAGCACCGAACATTCTAGCAATATTGCTGTAGTATCGCAACGTTGCTGCAATATTGCTAGAATGCAATATTGCTCCATGCTATCCGGGGATAAATAAGAAAACGCTTTCATTCCTCGATGCTTAAAAAAATACGTAGGAAGCCTCTTGCTACGTATAAATATCTTGATCTATAATATCTATAATATTCTATAATATTCTTGAATATCAAATTCATAGAAAATATTTAAAGCCGGTTCTACTGAAGCTTGCATTTTGAAATCAATGCTTCGGATTAGCTGTCGCAACAAGCTTGCGATCGGCTTGCAACTAATGTAGAACCGGCTTAAAGCGCAAAGCACGTTGAGAACGTTAATTGTAATCAGCGCACTCGCGACGTCACGAGAGACACGTGGACAAGTACAACAACCGCGGACGCTCCGCGTCTGCGCGCCTTGCACACCGAGCTGACCGAGCATCCCGCGCGACATGCCGTATGCGTGATCCCGCGATTCGCAGCGGTCGTGTCAACAAAATCAGCCGAGCATCCCGTGCCCAATCAGAGCCCAATCCTTCCCGTTCTGCAACAGAAATTGGGGAACCGTGTCGGACGAGGTGGATCCAGCCATCTAGCTAACCTCGCACGAGGAAGTTGTTCTCTCGTAGGAACGCACGTAGCACGTGCGCGAAGCACGTATCTGACGTAACGAATAGCTCTAACCGCTCTGTGGCGCTCTGCCGGCGTGCCGGCTGCTCCACGCACATTACGCGCAAAACACGCGTGCACACGCACACACCACCATACACACACACACACACACAGACACGCAGCGTGCTGCGCGCGCGAAGATGGCCGGGAATTGGTCGAGTTTGAATCGGCGCGGTTTTCAATTGGTCGAGAACCTCCTGCGCGTCCGGAGCCGGCGGACTATAAAGGATTTCGCCGATCAAGGACGCGTCGCAGACGTTTACGGGCTTTCACACAGTCGAGTCTATCGTCTCTCAACTACGTGCTGTTCACCGAAACCAGTAAGTAATTTTTTAGTCAATCCCTAACTTCTAAGACTTATAATGCGATTTCCGTAACTTGCGTTTTTTTAACGGCGGTGTTTTTCAGTGTTTTTGGGGTGTTTTAATAATATTTCATAATTTCATAAACAGAAATCGCCTTTAAAGAAGCCGCTGAATTTAAGGCAAAATAGCAGAATTAATAAAAAAATCGTTATACATCAGTTGCGCTCCTCTCTTTGAACTCCGATTAACGTAATCTGCTGATTAACTTTGTTTTATGTATTAACTAGAATTGCCAACAGGAAGACTTCAAAATCTGTCCTCAATCTTAATCTATTTATGGTAAAATAAAAGTATATAGTGTAAAAAAATAATAAAATAAATTGTAAGTTAGAGATCATAAGATATTTGAATAATAAGAATTTGGCATAATTAAAAATTAGAATAATAAGAAATTATATGTTAAAGATGACGAGTTTTTTAGTTTAGTAGTTGGCAGCTCTTAAATTTAATCAGCTGTTCAACTTGATCGGTGTGATGAGACCGGCTCTTTTTTATCTAGAACTCCAATACGTACCGCTTGTTGTTAGAGAGTTTATAGAAATCGGAAATTCGCTTTTTAATAATCGAAAATGATCTTCGAAATCTATATAAGTATTATATTAGTAGGAAATCAACGCAAAAGCACTACTGAAACAATTTACTGTCTGATTCACACTCACAGCGCTCTTGAAGACTTTTATCCTTGTTTGATCAAATGTTAAACAAAAACAAATGTTCACGAGTGCTGTGAGTGTGAATCGGATTACAACCTTTGTTTGATAGTTACGGTTTAACTTTCGATGTCTCGAGAACGAACGTCCTTCTAGCTTTGATTGCACTTGATTAGCATTTTGTCAGTGCCGTAGCTGAGCCGATGTTGAAATGGGGGAATCGGGAGGAAGAAAGAGGCGAGTAGGATGATGAAAAAAGCAGTATTTATATTTATAACTGTTAAGTAAAATAACATTTTCAGAGATCTTAGTCTATCTGACGCAGAAATTTATTTAAATTGTTTCTTTTATTATTAATAAGTATATAATTAATAATAATATAAACATTTTGTTAATTGGTATTCTAAATTAAAAAATTTTGTTTAGTAATGCAGGTCCAACTAACCGTACAAGACTTTCATTTTCTATGAAAGTCTTTCATTTGTTTTGAACAGTTTTTCGTTGTAATTTTGAAAATTTGAAGCTAAACCGAATTTTCATATGTTCTGTATTAATACAGCTTTAATGTGATAAAATCTCAATAATATTACGTGAATGCACTCGAGTTGGAACATTGTTTATTTCGTTCTTGTAACACCGCGTTCTTTCAATCGATTAATCTATTTTTTTTTAATTGATAACAGTAATCTCTTCTTAATTACAAATGGAAGATTATATGACTGTGGCCGATAGTCGCGATTGGTTTTTATATTTAAGATCATTTCAAGTCTTAAAATGTTATAAATTAAGCTAATTGCCGTGTTAGCAGATCTTAAGATTTAAGACGATTTAAAAATAAAAACTGACATTTTATAAGATTTAAACATTACGTCTGTGCTCAGTATAAATATCGCAGTATAAGAATCTATTTGATGATTTCCTCAATTGTTAATTTTTTCGAAAGAAAATTTTTTAGTTTACTGCGAATCGTTTTACTCGTTTCTGTCACATTGATACATTTATCGCTCAGAAAGATTGTTTATCCATTATCTGCAAACGTCGACAAACGAATGATAGATCGTAATATGTATAACGTTTACACTATTGCACATAAATATGTTTATCGTTGTAATTACACCACGCGTGGGGTTATCTTTGAAATATGAACTTTAGTACAAGCTAATTCACGATATGTATATATACGTCTACTTGGTGCATTGCACATCGGATCGCGGTCGAAGCAACACGCTCGTAATTTCTTCAAACTCGAAGTGTGGTGGGTCATCGAAACTCTCTTGCACAATTAATCCATTAATTTTCCGTAGATTTATCAAAGACGAATCGTCGAATCGAAAAAAGAATATTGTAAGATATTTAATAGTTAAATATTACATTAATAATTGTAATTTGATACTGTGTTTACGTAATAATATTAGCAAGTAATAATTATATTAAATAAATATGATTCAAGCCTGATATAAATAATTAAAATCAACCCTGGTGAAAATAAAAATCGGAGCGTAAGTTGAATGTAAGGGGAGAGTGACAAAAGCGTAAACGAAATTTCTAGGAGCGAAAATTGACACGGAGCGGAATGTAAAGGAAGCATTGCTCCGATTTTTATTTTCACCAGGGAATTACAGAGAATATAAACTAAAGATTTGATTATGATTGTGTCGACAGAGCATGAATACGATACTCCAAAAGAATGTTTGGGACAGCGATCCCGAGCTCTTCGAATTGATGAAGAAGGAGAAGAGACGGCAGGAATCGGCGATAGAGTTGATCGCGAGTGAAAACTTTACGTCTCTCAGTGTACTTCAGTGCCTGGGCTCGTGTTTACATAACAAGTACAGCGAGGGACTGCCTGGTCAAAGGTGATTTTACATTTCGTATATATTCCTCTTACGAGCACTCGGTCAAAAACTCAAAGAATAACCACTTCTCTGTTGTACCTGTAGATATTACGGTGGAAACGAAATCATCGACGAAATCGAATTGCTGGCCCAGAAACGCGCGTTGGAAGCCTTCGATCTGAACCCTGAGGAATGGGGCTGCAACGTACAACCCTACTCGGGAAGTCCGGCGAATTTCGCGGTGTACACGGGCCTGTTGGAGCCCCACGGGCGTATAATGGGCCTGGACTTGCCCGACGGTGGACATCTCACTCACGGTAAACGCGAATAAATCGAAGAAACTGCACTATACACACACACACACACTCACACACACACACACACACACACACATATATACGCGAAATTCGTGAATCAAAATATTATCAAAAAATTAAGTAAAAAAGTTACTTGTAAATTTTTATTTTAAGCAGTAATTTTTGAGACATAAGAGTTTAAATTTAGCCAATTATAAATTATGGTTAAATGGAAACATGTCCGTGAGCGTATTGATAGTAGTCACGCACTTCACGCGCGTACTAATTTATAATTGGCTAAATTTAAACTCTTATATCTAAAAAAATACTGTTTAAAATAAAAATTTACAAGTAACTTTTTTATTTAATTTATATATATATATATATATATATATATATACATCACGAATTTTAGGACACTCTGTATATATATAATCAAAATATTGTCAAAAAATTAAGAAAAAAAGTTACTTGTAAATTTTTATTTTAAGCAGTAATTTTGGAGGTATAAGAGTTTAAATTTAGCCAATTATAGATTAGTACGCGCGTGAAGTGCGTGACTACTAACACTATCGATACGCTCACGGACATGTTTCCATTTAACCATAATTTATAATTGGCTAAATTTAAACTCTTATGTCTTAAAAATTACTACTTAAAATAAAAAATAACTTTTACTTAATTTTTCGAAAACTTTCTTACTATAATATTTTGATTCACAAATTTCGGGATACTCTGTATATACATATACATATGATATGTGTGTGCGTGTGTGTGTGTGTGTGTGTGTGTGTGTGTGTGTGTGTGTGTGTGTGTGTGTGTGTGTGTGTGTGTGTGTGTGTGTGTGTGTGTATATGTCAGACACTGTTCTATAATAAACTGCGTTTGTGCGCTTACAGGTTTCTTCACGGCGACCAAGAAAATCTCCGCTACGTCCATCTTCTTCGAATCGATGCCGTACAAAGTTAATCCTGAGACTGGCTACATCGACTACGACGAGCTCGCGAAACATGCGAAATTATTCAAGCCGAAAGTCATCATCGCTGGCGTCTCCTGCTACAGCAGGAATCTGAACTACGAACGTTTCCGCCAAATTGCCGACGAGAACAACGCGTATCTCTTCAGCGACATGGCTCACGTCTCCGGACTGGTCGCCGCCGGTTTAGTGCCCAGTCCTTTCAAATACAGCGACATTGTTTCGACAACTACACATAAAACCTTACGGTATGCAGATATTTCCTAATCTAATTTTTAACAAGCATTTCTCTCGTCATACAGCGAATTCAATTAGACGCTTTGATGCACATTAAGCCGTTGTACAAAGACACAAATTAGACGTAAAGATGTGTGTTTAATATAAATATAGAAATCGATTAAAATATAAAATCCTCAATACATTTTATTGTATTATTTTGTAAAATATGTATTTTTTCATTCGAGATATATTTCACTTTTACATTCAGATTAGATCGGTGTATACAACTTTAATATGCACTATGCGTCCAATCAAATCTATTAATAGTAATTAAATTAATGACCCGATATCGTCTCCATTGAATTTCTCAGAGGGCCGCGCGCTGGCGTTATTTTCTTCCGAAAAGGCGTCCGAAGCGTCACGAAGGACGGCAAGAAGGTCATGTACGACTTAGAGAGCAGAATAAATCAAGCGGTTTTCCCGGGTCTTCAGGGTGGACCTCACAATCACGCTATCGCCGCAATAGCTACCGCTATGAAACAGGTGAAAACGCCGGAATTCCTCGAGTATCAGAAGCAAATAGTGCTGAACGCGAAGAGATTGTGCGCCGGTTTGCAAAAGCATGGCTATAACATCAGCACCAACGGCACGGACAATCACCTGATATTGGTGGATCTACGATCCAAGGGCATAACCGGCTCGAAGGCGGAGAAGGTCCTGGAGGAGATTTCTATCGCCTGCAACAAGAACACTGTTCCCGGTGACAAAAGTGCGTTGAATCCCAGCGGTATTCGTTTAGGAACGCCTGCGATCACCACTCGCGGCTTAGGCGAGAAAGACATCGAAAAAGTTTCGGAGTTCATACACAGAGGTACTGCAAATATTTGAAGCTCTACAAGAAGACTCGTTAGCGCTCAGCGATTTTTGGTCACGCTAAATTACAAGGAATACTACTGCCGTCCGATGTTTGTTATTTTTGTGACGTTTTGATCTCACGAGGAATAGCTTCTGAGCGCCAACGGGTTGAACATTGTAATTTAAATACGCATGGCATATAATGAGACTATAATAAATTCAATTCTATTGCCTTGTAGGTTTGCAACTCTCTAAGGAAGTGACTGCTATATCCGGACCGAAGCTGGTTGACTTCAACAGAGTATTAACTACCGATGAAAAAATTAAAGCACAGATCGCGACTTTGAAGAAGGAAGTGGAAACTTTCGCGAACGAATTTCCGATGCCTGGCCACGAAATATATTAAGCGCGAAACTTCGTTTGATGTAAATTTTTAAATGCTGCGTAATATTTTCATTATGCCAGTAATTATAGATTTTGTAAATTATTATATTTTTCTATGAAGAGATCTGTATTAGTCATGTATCCACGTTGAAATTCAACAACGCGATACATGCAGAATCATTTTTACTATGTATAAAGCGTTGCTATTACAATCATTTTTACAATGTATAAAGCGTTGCTATTACATAACTTTTTTTCTAATAAAAAAAGATCCATTAGATACAAAACAAGTGTACAGTAAAATTCCTCCCAAAATTATGTTTCTGAAGGAATTTTGATAGAAAAAGAAAATTCATATAATTTAAATTAAAAAGAATCACTTTAATAAGATGATTATAAATTTTAAATAATAAAATGCTAGCAATATGCCAACGGTATGCCAGCAAATTCGATTACGATTGCCGATTCCTGTCTACTGCATTCTCTTTAAGAATGTTACTTAAATATTACGTACTTTCTGCCACTACGATTTATCAGCCAGAATATAACACAGAAATGCAGCAGAAATAAGACAGATCTTATCGTCATGATGTCATAATGTAGAATCTGTTCATTTTCTACCTTTTCTTACCTTTCTAACGATATCAGAAAAACAATAGTAGTTGTGCTTGGCAGTCGCAACACATATTTGCAATGCATTGCTCTTGGCAGGTCTGGCTATCTGGAAGTAATAATCAAACATGTTTTATCTTTATTTATAAAGTCTTTAAACTGTAATTTATTTGATAGAAGTTTCTTATTACTTTCATTATTATTTGTGTCTTTCGGGATGACGCGTCGCTCCATGTGCGAATACATTGACTCACAGTTGGCGGTCCCGGAGCCCTCATTTCACACATGCCTCGATCTTGCGAAGTTATTGGAAAATTAAAAATGGTGACAGTAATAAAATTGGAACTCTACCTGTCTGTCTCTACTCGATCTGTCGTATATTTCTCGAAATTCATTGTGGCCTCCAATTTAAGTAGAGTCATTCCACTGAGGGTACGATCAATTAGGTAAGTTTGCAATTCTTAAATGTAACCGGTCGATTAAGCCAATCAAGAGATGATGAGACCGGCCCTTCGTTTATATGAATTAAAAATTGCTCGCACACGCGTGCGGTTGGCAATGCGTTTTTCTCTGATTGAACATGCAATTTAAATTCGAAAGCCATGCTAGAGCCGATATTCATACTCCGGTTCTTATTCAATGACCATCTTGGTCATCGAACGTATGTCAAGTCTAATTTGATGTGAGGAAACTTTTCGTATGAACATCCCGCTACACCCTTTATATTTTACAAATTTCTAGAAGATTAGATAGGGTACAAAAGTGCGTGCGTGCGTGCGTATTATTGATAGACCGAAAAGCGAATTAGTTTGCTATTTTTCTGATAGATTTTTTGATTGCGGTACAAATTTTATGTACACAGGCTGAATTAGCATAACATATTGATAACGTATTGACTGTTTCGATTCTGGCACGATGATATTATAACAAACGTTTTTTTTGTAACCCCACAGGGGAACAATATAGTTTATTAATATATTTTTTCTATCATTGTTACATTTTTCTTTTTGTATAAATTTGTATTATAATTCGCGAATTATGGCGCAAAATATGGATTTGTATATTATACGAACACGATGTGCGAATTTTATATTGACATATATTGAAATGGAAAATGATGTATCTTTATTACAAGAAGAAAATATTGCAATGACTTGTTTTTATTAAATTACTTAATGAAATGTTTCTATAACAGAAGCTGCATAAGTATTTCTTGATAAAATACAAATGAATGAATATACACACATACATACATACATACATACACGCAAACACATACATACAGACACGCGGGCTCATTATACGTATCATATTTCATATATCCGTCCTCATTCTTAGGTTTAGCATCGTTCTTTATTTGTACAACATAATATTAAACAAAATACATAAACAAAATAAATTTTATATTTTTAAATTGATTCTGTCATTTTACAACATATCACTTTTAATATTTATAATCATTGATTTTGTCATTTTCTTATACCATTACATCTGCGAAAATTTTAACGCACTTATCATTCTTACCTTGAGATTTGCAATATAAAAATTGCCTTTAACGCACTTATCAGTTTTGCCTTGACGTTTGCAATATAAAATTGCATTTAGCGCACTTATCGTTTTTGCCTTGAAGTTTGCAATATAAAATTGCATGGATATATTAAGTTAAAAAAATATTTCGTAAAACGTACAATTTTAGAAATAAGTGTATCGCAAGTATCGATTAATCCATTTGTATTGTGAAATAGTATTTTTAATTAGGAACATGACAGGCATATTTGCACATTTCACTCGACTCGCATACAAACTATTAAATTAAATATTTCTATTGGATACACAAAGGGGAGGAGCTGCTATTAGAGCATAATATATCGGGCAACCGTTATTTGTTGTTATATTTTTCAAGTGATTTATACAAATGTATCTAAATTAATACCTAAATTAATCCTTGAAAAGACTATAATCGCACACATGATTTGACATGTGATATTTACACATAGAGTATCCGCTTTTAATACGACGGACGTACAAGGAAGATGGTACATTCCAAAGTATTAATATCAAACGTACAAAATTGATATTACTGATTTTCACTAAATTAACTAAATACTTTGTTTAATCTTCACAAAAGATATTTTTAAATCAGAAAGTAAAATTGAAAATAAAATTGTTCAATTACCTTATAACACGAATATATCAATTATAATAATTTATACCTCATAATTGATAATTTTACTTTAAATAATTCTGATAACAGATAATAAAATGTGTAATGGACACTCGATGTACATGTGTTTCTAAAGAGATATATTTATTACAAAGCTAAATTTATTAGTTTGAATGTTGTCTATGCTTCCATTTTTCATTTTTAATGCACAAATATTAGATTACCTTTATCAATTAATGCTGTGAAGAATTTTATTACACAGTGATGGTCGTTTTATTTCCTTAGTTAAATATACGCAATTGTTTTTCTCTAAATGCTTTAAACGATTACCCATATCGGTATAGAATCCAATAAATAAATATATCGCTTGCTGCCCCGAGTAGTAATTTCCTTTCTCGACGCCTCAGCAACAAGCGATCTCGGTAAGCATTCTTCCCCCCCCCCTCCCCCCCGGAAGCTACAATTATGTCACATTTATTTGTCCACACGCATTTTAGTTTATATAAAATAAATTTTCGATCCAGCAGTTACACGCAGGTATATATTCATGTGATTATATGCACGGTATTACGGGTTGTAACTAATGGCAAGGATTTTATTCAAAGTTTAAGTATAATTTGCTGAATTCATAACAGTGTTATACAGAATGTAGAATTGAGAATACACTGACTTTTATCACGAAGCTAACTCATGCTCTTTCAAATTTTTTATCACAAATATTTATTACATGTCCGAAGTTATATGTAACTTAATTTGTAGACTCTTATTCAAAAGATCATCTCGTTATTATTGCACATAAATCTTATTTGGCTAAAAAGAGAGTACAGAAAGTATTAGATGTGTATAAATAAAATAATCAAGAATTGAGTTGCATTGTTGAATTTTAACCATTGTGAATTCAGTATACAACTTACAACTTTGATAAATTCCCGGTAAGTAGTCCCACGTACTCTCATCTACACGGTACGGAATTACTCCCTTCAAATAGCATAGCAATTCCTTTAGCTTTCCGTTTTCTTTTCTTTTCGCAAACATAATCCGTCCACAATTTGAAATTTCATTCCGTCGAGTAACACAGGTGCAGTTAGTGAAAGTATTTGGGTTCGAAGGGTAATATATAAAAGTCCGATACGACTTTCAGCGTCACACTGCACAGCGTTGCCTCACCTTCAATCAATCAAGCTCCTGGGCGGCGTGCGACGTTGAGGCTGTATTTCGCTGCTCGTCATCCGAGTCGTCGTCCTCCAGGCCGTTGAAGAAGGATTGCAGCAACGAGCCGAACAATCCTTGATTGCGTGGGCGCGGAGGTGGTATATTAAAAAAAAGTTGGCCTATTTTATCTAAGTACTGTCGATAACATGGATCTCTGTTTAAAGAGATCTGGTACTGCTCACAGAGAACCGTGAATACCGCTAGTTTACCACTGCAAAATATCAAATCGGAGAGGAAAAATGGAGGTCACACTTATATAATCAAAAATGCATCTCTCTCTCTTTCACACACACACACACACACACACACACACACACACACACACACACACAAAGAGTACGACGTACCTGTCAATGGTTTTGAGTAGGAAAAACAAGAAGTTTAACAAAGGAAGAAGATATGGCGGGCCACTATTTATTTTTGGATGCCTTGAAGTGTAAGAATTAAAGGCCTCTTGCGCCGTTGCTTTGTTTTGTAAACAAAGATACCTAAAACAAAGACAATTTTATATATATATATATATATATA